ACCTTTCCACAACATTCTAATTTAGTGAGATGCCCCTAAATATATATATATATATATATATATGGAAAGATGGCAAATCAAAATAGTAGTGAATTTACTACTGCTATTTCTGTTTTTTTTTTTTTTGCTGTATACAGTATCTTTGTGCATATGTTTCTGCATGTAAGGCATATAGGGCACCACAGACCAAAAACAAACCATGCTTCTAACCACAGGTGGAGAGCTGTAGTTCCAACCACACAATGGAATGGAACATTTTGTGAATGGTTGTTTGAATGGTAGTTTCAGGAAACACCAAATCATTGAACTATGTTTGTAACAATGGACGATGTGACCATAGTCAGCCAATGAAATACACTCCTGTTACTAACGCTACAAAAGTCAGCAAAATATTACCTGATCTTCCATCCCTCTGGAAGTCCACATGATACCACTCTCCATCGTTCACTTTTTTGTTCACAGCCAGTGTCTTGGTTGAGCCTGATCCCATATCCAGAAGCAGATACAAAAGACCATCCAGCATCTCAATGGCAAAAAAGTCTACCTTCTGTGTGAAAGGGCTCTTGGCCTCTTTTGTCTGTTGCTTAGGTTTCCCATGGCTAAAGAGGAGAAGTCCATTGGGCTCAGTGGTGCGGAAGTCAAAGGAAATAGAACCGGTTTTCTTAGTGTTCCATTTAGGAAGCGTGATGAAGGATTCTGGTGTCTCAAAAGTGATGGGATCTAATGTGGCAACATTCTCACACTTAAAGGCAACAACTCCATGGATCTTCATTTTTGGGTCGCCTTTAAAGGCCAGTCTGGACAGCTCCAGTCGAATTTCATTGTTTTTATACGCAACCTATAAATATAAAACAATGTCAATTGAACAGAAATAAATTGAAACACTTTTGAAACACGATTTGTATCTGTTTTGTTCTGCAAACACAATTTAGACGATTTCTCTTTTGATATCAATGGATCTATTAACATTGGACAAACAAAAGCTTTATAATGCTTTTTCAAGCTTCCTCTGTACATCTTATAACAGGTTCTTTACCTCCCTTAGACAACCCATAAAGTTGTTGCTAACAGGTGATCCCGGCAGGTCGGCTGTACTAGGACTTCCTCCAACATAGAAAAAGTCATCAGATCCAAGCATGGTGTAGTCCTCTTGAGTATATCCTGTGGTGGTCAGTATTCCATCCACAGATATTGTTACCTAAAGAACAAACCACAGGAAAAAGGTTATACAGATGCCAGTTTGCTACTGTCTGGATTTCGGTTTCTGTTTCTTTTGTAGATACACAGTGCTGCGTAATAACGCAATGGGGAACCTGTAAGTGCTCACAACATCTGAAGCCCTATAGAATCACAGCAATTCATTGGTTGATGGTGCCTGTATGAGTCCGAAGGAGCTTCATACCAGTACATTTATAGGCTCACCATTAGATTTTCTTATTTTCTGTGCCTTACAGTTTCAGTCTATTTTGTCTAGGCGCTCATCTTAAAGTGAGTTATTCCTCTTTTGAGTGACAAGATGATGTTCAATGAGTTCTCCCTCAAAGCACGCACTTCATTGTCAGTTATGATATGCACAACATGTGTCTCCTATTCAGGATCTGGATGGTGAACTGACCACTGACCAATTCTCTTGTGAATAAGGCTTTGGGAATGATTGTGATTTTACAGACAGAGACAAAGCCTTTCTGTTGGATGTGGCCATGCCTCATTCAGGGCTCTTTGGTGACAATATTTAGCTGGTGGTAAAGAAGATCAGTTCAATAAAAAGCAGACAGCTATTTTCCAACACGTGCACCCTCGCAATAAGAGAGACAAACCAGCCACTTCCTTGGCACATTCTGATACACAAACCTATGCAGTAACAGTATAGCCAATGGAACTAGCCAATGGCCTACTGCATAGTTTTGTGCATCTTGCAGAAAATCAATGGCACCAAGGGCACATTTATAAGGGTGCTGTTATGCAGCTCCTTATGAGCGGCACTTTAGCACCATCAACCAATGAGTTGGTGTGATTCTAAAGGGCTTCAGACCTTGTGACCACTCTCATGTTCCCCAATGTCATTACACAGTCTCTTTGGGAACCAGGGTTACATTCAGTAAAACAGACAATTTTCCTTTATTTGTTTTAGTCTAAAACCCATTTTTATGTCTCTTTTTTCTTTGATATTTTGCATAAATTTGAAGGGATAGCTTTGAAGACTTCATTTACTTAAATGTAATCACGTGTTGATGTATTAAACAAAAGAATGTGTTAGTAATGCCCCATAGCAACTTAAAATGAATTGACAGACACAAAAATGGTGTTAGTAACTAGGAAAGTCTTTTTAGTATGTTTGCTGGTAAGTAAATTAAAAGGAAACCATGCAACAGGGTTTAAATCTATTTTAAGCAGTGCCACAGTTTGGTGAAGAAATGAAAATCTCATGCCACTTTTTTTTGTGCATTCACATAAAATCAGATTTTACAATTTTATGTGTATATATCAGGGGTGGCGAACTCCGGTCCTGGAGAGCCGCAGCCCTGCAGAGTTCAGCTCCAACCCTAATTAAAACTCACCTGCCTGTAGCTTCCTAGTAACCATTCATACCTTGATTAGCTTGTTCAGGTGTGTTTGATTAGGGTTGAAGCAAAACTCTGCAGGGTTGTGGCTCTCCAGGACCGACATTCGCCACCCCTGGTATATATAGTGTCATATTAAATTATGATACCTAAAACATTTCAAAAAGTGGCACAAGGAGGGACTAGAGTAAAAAAAAACACAGCGAGTTAAAGACAAACATTGATTATGGATGCATTTTATCAGCACAGCATTTTGCAGACCATGCGGAGTGGGAGGGAATAGAACTGACTGTGGCAGCTAGGACATGTTTCAAACTACTGCTGTGTAAAATGTTCGGGATGATGCTTCTAAAGTGGTTCAAAGTGAACTGGACAAAAAAAAATGGGGAAAAGGCTGCTGGAAAACTAAATTAAGCAGATTAAACAGAAAAAAATCTAAAAATCAATAAGTAACCAACCAGTTCCGATTTTTTGATGTCTACAAATCAAGGAAAGATCAAATAACATACAGCATACCCTAAATAAGAATCAATTAGAATAATATCTGCCGAACAATGTAGTTTGTTTACCATAGCATGTCCAATGCCTGAGTGCTTTGTGGAAAAGGAGAAAGGAAATTAAAAAGTGTGAATAGAATAGCGACTAAAGATATGATGATTACCAAGGTTAGTACATAGTTTGTTAAAGATTAAGAAGCAGTTGGTTAGTAGCATGACACATTCCACGAGCAACATTAGTTTTACAAAGCATATTAGTAACTGCATAAAAATAAACAATAATTGATATGCTTAGTATCTGTTAGTATCTGACTTTAAGGTCCCACTATATATAAAGTGGCCTTAACTACAATGTACTTACATCAGAAAATAAGTTCAATGTACTTGTGTTCATAATGTATTGTAAAACACTTTTGATGCTATTGTGGTGGGATATGGGTAAGGTTAGGGACAGGTTTGGTGGTTTGGGTAGGTTTAAGGGTGGGTTAAGGTGTAAGGGATGGGTCAACAGTTTAATTATAAATGTAGTTACAGAAATTAATTATAGATGTAATTACATGCAGTTATTAAAAAATATATATAAGTATAATGTAAAAACATGTGCGCAAAAAGTGCATTGTAACAAATGATTCATTTAAATGTAAGTACATAGTAGTTAGGGCCTTAATTCTAGATTAATAGATGCTTGGTAATCATAAACAAGGCCTCTTGTGGATTATTGCTTTATTGAATTGAAGTGTCATTCATTTTCATTGTGTATGCACTGCTGTGTTTGTTTACTCACCATGAGCCAGATTTACTAACATCTTGTGGCAGCACAAACCATCTTTTGGTGTTAAAGAACTACTCTCTGGATTTACTTAAGACACGCAGTGAAAAATTAGCTGAAGAGGTGCGGAAGGTTATTTTTGCGGCTGACCTTATTGCATATGCATTTGTAGGAGTTTCACTTTTGGGTACACAATTTTATGGGAGGGAAGTATTTAAAAGAATAATACAAGGTGATTTACTAAGGTTTGCACCATTATGTAACGCACCTCAAAAAAATGTCTTAACTCATTTTGCCATTGATATGACTGCAATAGTTGCTAATTTGCTAGATTGTACTAGTCATTATGGATATGAGATGGCTAAATCTTTGCTCTTTAATTTGGTTATTAAATCACCCACAGAATTTTCCACTCCCATAAGCACTTTGCTGGGGTGTTAAAGAACTACTCTCTGGATTTACTTAAGACACGCAGTGAAAAATTAGCTGAAGAGGTGCGGAAGGTTATTTTTGCGGCTGACCTTATTGCATATGCATTTGTAGGAGTTTCACTTTTGGGTACACAATTTTATGGGAGGGAAGTATTTAAAAGAATAATACAAGGTGATTTACTAAGGTTTGCACCATTATGTAACGCACCTCAAAAAAATGTCTTAACTCATTTTGCCATTGATATGACTGTAATAGTTGCTAATTTGCTAGATTGTACTAGTCATTATGGATATGAGATGGCTGCATCTTTGCTCTTTAATTTGGTTATTAAATCACCCACAGAATTTTCCACTCCCATAAGCACTTTGCTGAGATTGCTGTCTTGTGCTAATTTGCTCTGTTTAGTAAATCTGGCCCCATCTTTGCTATTTAGTTGATACTTATTTTACAATAAAAAATGGACATCATGGTCCTGTTCCAAAACCTAGTGTGTTGGTCATTTAAACCCAATTGCACCTCACAAATTAATGATTTGGAATGCTTTACATACAGTGGATATAAAAAGTCTAAACACTGTTTGTAAAATTCCTGCTTTTAATGAATCCAAGTAAAATAATGTCAGATCTTTTTGCACATTTAATGTTCTATTGAAATCAACTAAATTCATGTAACAAACAAATACAAACTTTTAGGGGGGGTAGAAAAAAAAAGAAAATTCTCACATCTCAACTAATACTGAATTGAACAACCTTTTGATTTTAATATAGCAAACTGCTCTTTTTAAATAAGACTATATCAACTTAGCACATCCTAATTTGTCAATGTTTTACCACTCTTCCTTAATTACAAAAGAGCTCCAGATTGGTCATATCACAGAGGGATCTCTGTTCAAGTTATACCACAAGGATTGTTTTTTTAAAGCCATTGCTGCTGTATTTACTCTGTTGTTATCAGGTTTTTAATGGAGGCCTGCAAGTTTTGCCAAAATATTCTGGTATTTGGGACTTTCTGTGATTCCTGCTACACTGTAAAAAAATTAATTTGTAAAATAACAGAAACAGAACTGGCAGCTCATTACACACGACATTATCCATTAATTTTACGGACATTTCTGTTAACCCTAAAACACATTGCAATGAAGAGTAAAATTCTACTGGTAAAAACACCTGTAAAGAATAAATACAAAATATTCCTTCAAATTATACAGGATATTGTGCCCTATTTTTTTTCAGATTTATTTTAGAGTGTATCTTGTCTACTGCCCCAGTTCCAACAGAAGAGAAGCAGCACACACTTTGTATTTTTATTGAAAGCCATGTCTTTGGCAGTAAAATTAAACCAAGAATATGCTAAAGAAAATCCTACTGATTTTTTATTCCAAGTTAATCAGAATCCCTCAAATCATTTATGAATTATTATAATTACTTTTCAGTAAGACTTTGAATGTGGTTAATTCCAAACAGAGTACCATGTCTTATTATAAAAAAAGTGTGCATATTCATACAACAACATAATTTTAGGTTTTTATTTTTCCTTATTTCTTAAAAGTTTCTGTTTGTTTCTTCTGGTATTTGGGACTTTCTGTGATTCCTGCTACACTGTAAAAAAATTAATTTGTAAAATAACAGAAACAGAACTGGCAGCTCATTACACACGACATTATCCATTAATTTTACGGACATTTCTGTTAACCCTAAAACACATTGCAATGAAGAGTAAAATTCTACTGGTAAAAACACCTGTAAAGAATAAATACAAAATATTCCTTCAAATTATACAGGATATTGTGCCCTATTTTTTTTCAGATTTATTTTAGAGTGTATCTTGTCTACTGCCCCAGTTCCAACAGAAGAGAAGCAGCACACACTTTGTATTTTTATTGAAGGCCATGTCTTTGGCAGTAAAATGAAACCAAGAATATGCTAAAGAAAATCCTACTTATTTTTTATTCCAAGTTAATCAGAATCCCTCAAATCATTTATGAATTATTATAATTACTTTTCAGTAAGACTTTGAATGTGGTTAATTCCAAACAGAGTACCATGTCTTATAAAAAAAGTGTGCATATTCATACAACAACATCATTTTAGGTTTTTATTTTTCCTTATTTCTTAAAAGTTTCTGTTTGTTTCTTACATGAATTTGAATGGTTTTATTATTAAACAAAAAGATGGAAACATCTCGAAAAGCTGAAATTTTAACAGGGGTGAGCAAATTTTTTCCACAGCCATCAAGGTCATCTTTGTTAAAAGTTACTCACACATGCTATACCAATATCGCTTCTCGTGTGAAGTGCACAACAAATCCGATCTAATTTACAGTTAGGTCAGTGTTGCCATGTTACTAAGATAAAACACATAACAGATATTGGGGTGTACTGTGCTTGTCAAAGTCCATTCTGGGGTTGTTATAAAGGATGCATGTGCATGTTCCAATTTGGAGTGTGGATATGACGATTAAACATGCTGTCTAAGCATCTCATTAGGTTTTGGAATGTCTCCAGGGAACAGTGCCTGAAATTGTTGTGGAAGGCCTAAAGGCAAGGTGTTGTTAAACGCATAGGCAAACATATTTTATAGTTTTGTTTATTTCTTGTCCTATTTAAAAAAATAATAAACTTTGACCTGTTGCCATATTGTGCAGAATTAACTATAAATAAGCAACTTATTAATAAATAATACATTTGATTTTACAAGGATAGCCAACCCTGCTCCTTGAGAAAGTCCTGTCCTGGAAAGTTTAGCTCCAATTTTAATAAAAGCCACCTGAACCAGCTAGCCAAGTAGATCAGGATTAATTGAAAATGACAGGTATTTACAGTAGCAAGGTTGGAACTGAAGACGGCAGGAAGATTGCTCTCCAAGTGCAGAGCTCACCCTGCTCTATACTATCTAGCACACATGCCTGCAGACAGTCATGTTTTTCAGAAGACATTTCAAGAGATACAAATGAGATAATAGGTATATAAGTATGACCCTGCTTGAAATAGGTACTTTAGGCTCTTAGGAATTATTTCTATGGTAATGTTAATACCATATAAAGTGATAATTTCATCTAACGCATGTAATGCTATATTGACTAAATCATTACTGTGTTCATCGGTTTGATGCCCTCTTAGCTACTGTAGCTCTATTACCTGACGCAAATTCCTTGTTACTTTTACATCATGCCATTCATTGTCATTAAATTTTCCATTGACTGGTTCCACCAGAGCTTCAAACGCCCCAGAACCCAAATTTATGACAAGAGACACCGCTCCGTTTTTCAGAGCCAGGTTGACATAGTCAGCAGATTTTCCCGTGTGAAGCATCAGTCCATTTCTCTGGAGTGTTTTGAATGACAGCGTGATTTCATCACTGCTGCTTTGGATTGGGTTCAGGGAAAGGTCATAGCAGAAGTATTCTGAACCTTTGAATGTTGCCACATATTCTTCCATTTCTGAAAACAAAGAAGAAAATAGATGGGTTAAAAACCTGACAAGGATGGATTCATCTCTAACCACGCTTCATCTAACCACACTTCACACACTTATTTTGACTATTGCACAAGCACATAACAACGACAGAAGATATAAATTATTTGGCTAGCACAAATGTACAAAAACATAACAACGACAGAAGATATAAATTATTTGGCTAGCACAAATGTACAAAAACATAACAACGACAGAAGATATAAATTATTTGGCTAGCACAAATGTACAAAAACATAACAACGACAGAAGATATAAATTATTTGGCTAGCACAAATGTACAAAAACGTGTACAGGTGACTGAGGTTGGCCAGAGTGACTTGTGAAACAATCTCTGAATTGCATGTTTACAATATCTATCTGTAGGAAACAATGTCTTAGTTTCTAAGTTTCAATGTCATAGACAGTGCCTCTTCACCTATATGCCAGATATCTGCTCCTAAATGATGGCCACCAAAGCCATCTTGTTCCTTCAGTTCCTGGTTCCCTTTCAAGGGTGCTTGTGCTGCATCAGAAGTAGTGTTTCTTTGGGAACGCTTCTGCATATATAGCTCCGCCCATGTTGGTGTTTCTTCTCAAGGGAAGCAAAATAGAATTAAGAGGCTTGGATCTCCCGATGCCAAGGCAGCAACTGTATTACTGGTATGCAACCAAAATGCAGGGAGGAAACTTTATGCAGGGTCTGAGGACCATCATCCTCTCAAAGAGGGCTTCAGTCATAATGCTGCAGGGCTCAGGACTTTGATAGCAGGCCCCTGCGAAGTGTCCTCGGGAGGTCAATCAGCCAACCCCACCACCTTTGGTATTTCAGGGCGCAGCGGTTTCTGGTTCAGTTTTTGGTCCAGTCTCTGCCTAGGAATGTTGCGGAAATGGGATATGGTTCTCTTCCCCCTTGTTTCAACAAGGTCCTACCCACAGTGGTGGATGCCGAGATGTCTCTGGTAATGGAACAAGAACTGTAGACGGTCTTAGAAAATGAGTTCCTTCACCTGAGAGAGATCTGTATCAACTAAATTTCGGTTAAGGCTGAACACCAAGAAAAGTGAGCTTTGTCCAATACAGAGAGCTACTTATTTAAGCTCGGTAAAGGATTCGACAATGATGCAGGCAAGTCTGTCTCCCGCTCATATCAATTCAATCCTTGCAGCCATAAACTAGCTAAAGCTAGGCCAGTCACTCACTGTCACAGTTGCAGATTCTGTTAGGTCTGATGGCAGCTGCATCCAACGTGATACATTTTGGCATTCTGCATGATCAAGGTTACGAGCAGGTGACTTTGTACCTTGTTTATGTGGAAGAAATCTCGGTTCTTGTCCCAGGGTCTCTTGCTGGAAGCTCCTTGTCATCATGCAATGCTTACGACAGCCACATACTTCACAGGCTGGGGAGTGACCATGAGTGAGTGCTCATTGCATATAAACTGACTGAAGTTGAAAGGTGTTTTTCTAGCTTTGAAGCACTTTCTCCCAGACCTGAGGGGCCATCGTGTGCTTGTCTGCACAGACAACACATTGGTGGTCTCTTACATAAATCACCAGGGAAGTCTGTGGTTGCATCCACTTTACAAAGGGGCACATCAGATCCTTCTGTGGTCTCAGGGCAAGCTGCTCTCCTTGGCCCTCATTTATATGAGCGCACAGATCAAATTACGACAGAGTTCACGTGTGGTTCATGAAACATTTGTATCCCATCATACAAAAGATCCGATATTGATAAATGTGGCAGCTGAAAATAATTGTCATTTAAAAATGCCCTGATTTAGAAGCCTTAGCCCTACAGTTTACAACATGGAGAAACATAACCTGGCCAAGAAGAGGAAGAAGGCTAATCTCATAAAGGAGGAAGAGATATTGATCGTACATTAAAATCACGCTAACCTCATAATTGTTGCAAACAATTAAATTATTCTAGTATTTCTTATATGAAAATACTTTATTAATATTATAATCTATAAACAGAATAATTTACCTTTGGCAACAAATTTTCAAATGAAGAATATGTGGCATCTAGGGATGACCATAATTAATGGTCGGTTAATAATCAGTTAACCATTAACCGACAGTAAGAAATGTGATAAATTAACACTATCAGTTAAACAGTTAAAAGATCATTTAAAGAAACTGGTTAGACATATCAGTCAATATTTTTAAAAATTTGCAATTTGTTACATTCAGAAATAATGTAAAATACAAAAGATGATGTTAAAAGATGAAGGAAGGTGCAACAAAGTTCCAAAAACAAAAGTATTTATTAAAAAAAACAAGTTCAGGTAGAGCCACTGGGAAAACGGCAATATAACAATAACGGACAAAAAACGAAGACAAACAGAGGAATTTAAGTAGGCAAGATAATGAACTGAATACGAACAGGTGAACAAGAATGAAAAACATGAATAGCTATAAAATTGTAGAATAAAATTATAAAATAATATTGGCATTTGTTATAAATTTAAAACTATATAAACATCAATCCAAACGTCTCGGGTTAAATATGTAACCATGGTTACATGCGTAGCCTGAGACATTCCCCTTCAAGGGAACTCACATTGCCTCTAGTGAACACTATGGGGAGCAAAATAGCCACTGTGCCATGCTGCGGTGCATGCTTGTCCACCTGGTGAGAGAGCACCAAAAAAGTAGGCAAACCGATTCAAAAAGGGGTACGCCAGTGATGCTCCAGACAGCTAAAACACCTTAGGGCAAATGGGGAACCCAACCAACACATAATATTTAGGAAGGGATATCCCATTCAGCCAAGTTGGGAACACAACTATCCTCAAACAGCTATAATTTCTAAAGACAATGGGCCATCTACATGAAACCCTTTAATTACAAGGGAAACAGCCCAAACTAAACTAGGGAAACTATGCTCAGACAGCTACCATTTCTGGGGAGTCAGCCCGACCTTGCATGTATTATGAGAATGGAGCAAGAAACCCTACTTCAATATTCATACTGTACTTTAGTGAGGGACTTCTTGCTTCACCCGACCAAAAAGCAGCTTGTCAGAGGTAACTGTCCTTAGACAGCTAGTAACTTTGATGATGTTATAGCTGGGCCACAGTAAATATTTTGGAGGCAGCCCGACCCGAGATGCTCCTAAAAGAACCCTACTTAAAACCCAAAATCACTGGGGAGGGGTATCTTGCTACAACCTTCATAAAAAGGGATAGCCATCAAAAGAAACCATTTTTTAACAGGTATATCATTGATAAACTTCCACTCAGGATGTCCCTTCCAATGAGGTACCAGTGAGGACTGTCATTAAACATCTCCCAAGACACAGAAGGACCGTCTATCTCACAGACTGCATTAAATTGAGGGGGTACCTCCAATACTGTTTTGAGCAGTACTGGAGGTAACGAGAGGAGCTCGAACAGAGCATTATACTCCTCCCATGCCCCGCCTACAACCCCTGTGCTCAATCCCGCATGCCTCACCACAATGGCAGCCTCTGGAACTGAACCACAGAGTGCAGGAACTCAACTCTCATCCCTCAAGAGAGAGTCAAGCCCAGGTAGAACCCATTATTATGACCACATCACACAACATGCATTTAACTCCCTCAAAAGCTAAGCGTGCTTACTTTAAGCATCAGCTTCAAACACTTTTTAAAGAAACCTACGAGAACAATATAGAATGTGTCGCTATGAGAGCCTAACATAAGACTCCCTTAAGAGCCTAACATGCTTGAGTAAACACTGACTACGATCCCTCAGAAGAGAACCTAAAAGAAAATCTTCTTACCTGTCTCTTTCAGTCAGTCTTGCAAATGCATCATACCTGGCACATCCAGTCTCTCTTAGAAGTTGAAGGTGTTCCACCCAAGAGTCTGAACATCCCACATCCCATGAGAATAGGGACAGTGCAAACGGTTTCTTTACCACTGAGAAATTTTTACAATGAGCACATGCAATTTCCTCAAAAAACTGAAGAAAAAAAAACGCATCACAAAAAAACGCATCAATCATGCATGCCCTCAGGTCCTCAAATGGAGGCACACACTACCTAAAATGTTTCGCAGAGTTCTACTCAATAACATTATCCTTCACACGTACACAAACAAATGGATCCTGAAGACAAAATAAGTTGATGATGTGCATTACAGGTGCCCTCTTATACTTCTGGGCGCTCTGCTTGATGTCAAGGGTTGCACGGTCCAAAGGATTTGGAGTGTTTTCACACTAGGGATGGGCGATATGGGCTTTAAATATATCACGATATTTCTGGTATTTATTACGATAACGATATCAATGACGATAATTCAGGGAATCCTGTTTCTTTTAAGAAAAGTATTATCTTTCCTATTTTTACCCAAAATAGGGTGAGCATTATCCTCCTGAGACCCTGCATCCTCATATGAGGACATTATATTTTAGTGAATTTCTCTGAGACTATACATGCCACAGTTTTAAGTCAGGATGTCCTGTACAGAGCACATTCAGGGCTTTTCAGAGATACTAAATGTTTGGATGTCTCACCATCACCACCCCCTCTCCTTGGTCTTCAAAAATGTCTGATATTAATTTAGTGACACTCTTATGGAAATTTTGTAATTGTCATTTAAATCGGACACATTTTTAAATTGTGTGTCATAAATCAACATCTCAGGAAAATGTTATGGGGTTTTAAATCAAAATATGACTTTCTGTTACGAAACAGGAGGTTGATTTCATACATGTCCTCATATGAGGACACCAGGACTAAAAGCATGTTTATTATACATTTTGGGAGACACAACAAATGAATAGGTAAAGAAAATATGTCAATATTCCTATGAAATATGATATATCTTTATATCTTGTCAATTATTACTCTCAATATATCACTTCTTTTTTCATTACATGCCCAAAAACACATTAATATGCAAATTAGATTTAGTTTATAGATACATTATATATAATGAATGAGAAAACCTGTTTGTGGCCATTTTACACACATTTTGCATGAAGAAAAATGGTAAATCA